CTGTCCTGGAACTCACAGAGATCCACCTGCCTCTGCCTGCCGAGTGCTGGGGTTAAAAGCATGTGCCACCATGACCAGCTACACACCACAAAACATTTTAAAGCTTAAAAACAAACAAATAAACAACAACAAAAACCACACAAACCTCAGTCGGGAATAGGGCACGCCTTTAATCCCAGCACGTGGGAGGCAGTGGGAGGCAGAGGCAGGTGGACCACACTGATTTTGATGGATGTACACCTGGTTTCTATAGTTCCCTTCAGGACAGTCAGGGCTAACGAACGAGCCCTTGTCTCAAACTAACAGCAGCAGCAACAACAACCTGACCCTTTAGATCTTGACTCAGATCTCCCGTGTTCTACGCTCGGATTGTATAAAACGCACGCACACAGAAATGTGTACCAACTTACAAGCGGTAGAAAAGCTGATGCAGTGGCACATGCTAATAATTCCAGGATTTAAGATGCTGAGGCAGGGGGATTACAATGAGTTCAGTCTGGGCTACATTGTGAGACCCTGTCTCAAGAAGGAAAAAAGTTATTAAAGAGTACAGCTTCCTGTCTCCTCCCTACCTTTCATAAGTGACCATTGCCTTTGATGTGGCCCCAGGAAGACAGTGGGGAGCTGGCTTGAGATAGACCAGTCAGACCCAAAGGACAGGAAGATGGAGTGTCCAGGTCATGAACTACCTAAGAGTGATCCCAGTGTCTCAGCTATCTGAAACTGTGATGAGAGGACAGCAGGCCCAGCTGAGTGACCTCTGGCAACAGACTGTCGCCTCTGGCTTCTGGGTAAGAGTAGCTTCCTCTCACCCCTCCACCCCCGGCAGAGGGAAGAGCAATTATTGTATTGGCCAAGAGTTGGCTGGGATGATGGGTCTCCAGCTGCCAGAGTCACCCCACCCACTCCCATCTAAATTCAATCCTGTGGAGAGATTAGAGTTGGGAAAGGGCCAGGAACTTCTTCACTCTGTGGGGGCGGGGTTGGTCACATGGTACGGAGGTTGTGTTGAGGAGTCACAAAGTCGAGTGCTGGGTGTGTGAGCCTCAGATATCCCTTTACTCTGGAAGACGGTGGGAGCCAGGGAAGGTTATTTAGCAGTGAGGACTCTAATCAGATTAGAGAAACTGATCCCAGCAGGAGGAGCTTCGAGAAGGCCATCTGAGGAATCTGATGTATTGCAGGCCAGAAGTGAGAGGGAATGAATGGAGGCAGGCTGAGACCCCACCCACTCTTGTAGATTGAGCTGGATTTTGGGAGGTAGCAAATGCAAGACCAGCAGGAAGGACGGTCCTGGGTATGGTGGAGCCTCAGGCTTGATGGCTGGATGGAGCAGGACTCAAAGACCTGGCAAGCTCGTGGTGGAAGGGCATGAACTGGTTACTGACTGGCTTGAGTCGGGGTGTGTGGGGTGGTGGGGCTTCTGGGAACAAGTCCAGGAAACCACTGGAAATGTTGGTTTTACAATGAAGGAACCAGAAGGTCAGCGGGGTGGCTGATGTTTGTCAGTTTTCCACAGCTTAGAAAAAAGGCCAGATCAGGATTCGAATGTGGATCTGGGTAGGTGTACGGTATCACTTGGACCCTGACACTGGGTTTAGCTTCCTTGGCCCAGGAACCCTGTTCTTCCTGGGGGTCAGTGCAGTCATTTCTCTACTACTGAGTCCAACAGCTACAGGATGCTGCAGAAGCTCACGCCCAGACTTCTGCTCTGTAGGGAGCTGTACCAGGCAGTCCCAGCCTCTTGTTACATTGGTACTTGTACCTAGGTGCCTATACTGTGTGTAGCCAGGCACCATATACAGGATGTTTCTCTTCATCCTTATAGTCTCTCTTCGGGGGTCTCCATGTAAGAGGAGAGAACCAACTCATGCTGTTAAGAGGCCCAGGATTCAGTTTGCTCTGTGGGCAGCTGAGCTGCTGTGTGACCTAGACAGACTGAGGACCTCATGGCTTACCCAGAGAGACCCCGGTCCCAGCATTCACATACCTACCCCGCTGGCCCTGATTTCAGGCCTGCAGCTCAGAGCTCCAGACTTCCCACCCCTCCCCAGCCATTCCTTCCTCGTGGCCAGCTCCCTGGGGAACTGCCAGGCCTGCCCCGCCCCCTCTCGGGCTGTGCTCTTGGCAGCTCTGCCACCCTGGGCTCTGGTCCGGGGGTGGTCCCTGGCATCAGGGGAAGCTGGCGGAAACTGGGATTAATGAGGCTGAGACCCAGGGCGTTCGGGAGACCCCTCCCCAAGCCCTACTTCATAGCTCACTGTGCTCCAAGCTGGGTGGGCAGAGCTCTCTGGGAAGGGGTGGCTTGAGGCTTTAACCACTTTATCAATGTTTGTTTGTGTAACTCCGCCCCCAAGATGCTTTCCCCTCCATCTGTCCCACCATCTGCTTTCATCAGGATTTTCCAAACCATTGGAGACCCAAGAGACAGGGAATGGGGGTTGGGTGGGCTAGAGAAGGGCCAGACCTTGGGACCTGCAGCTCCTGAGAGTCACACGATGCTGGACTCAGATATGTCTTGTTGCTGCTGTATCTCAGGGTATAGACTTCAACTCTCTGAGCCTCAGGTTCCACATCTGTAAAATGGTGACAGTGTTACAGACACACAGGGGCATCCGGTATCATGAGATAAAGTGGTCTAGGTAGGGCACTCTACACACAGTAGGTTCGCAGGAGATAAGTGATGTCCCAGCATCATGATAGAATAGGATAGCTGCTTGTTTCTTTCAGTTAATTAATTAATTGCTTTTTTGAGACACGGTTTCTCTGTGTAGCCTTGGCTGTCCAAAACTCATTCTGTAGACCAGGCTGGCTTTGAACTCAGAGATCTATCTGCCTCTGTCTTACACTTGAATTAAAGGCGTGCACCACCACTGCCTGGTTGCTACCCAGGTTTCTGAAGCCGCCGGCTCACTTCTCTGCTCTGGAGACATGCTCCTTCTGTGGACTGCCTATTGTTCTGTTCCATTCCTCCTGGTCCTATTTCTACCTCAAGCTGAGACTGCTTCCCTCTTGGACACCTCTATCTGGAATAACAGAGGATGGGGTATCATCAGCACCAGATCCTACACACAACAGACCTTCAAATAAGGCAAACCCAGGGCCCCAGGGACACTGGCGCTCAGCAGGGGGAAGAGCTTTGCTTCAGGAGGTGCAGACGTGAGGGACTCAGACTTCCCAAGCAGCAATCCCTCTTTGGCCTTTTCTGAACTACATTGCAGGGTACTTCTCCTGGATGCAGGGTTTTATTATAGGCTGTGCGGAGCCCCTAAGCCTCCTCTTTGGCTCAAGAGTCTTTCCAGTGCTTCTCCGGCCATTGGGGAGGTAGAGGTGGCTGATGGGAGAAGCCAAGGAGCCCCGAGGGCTCAGACTCTGCTTTCAGATGCACGCATTGATGTGCAGAAACAGACAAAGAAATCAGGTGTCTGGATGAGGGAAGAGACATGGCCCCTACCCCCATGCACACTACTGAGAGGCAGGATGGAGACAGCCGAGGGGAAGGCTCCGGAATCACCCTCCCAAAGAAGAGAAGCATTGAAGACACCTGAACCTGTGCCTGAGCCAAGAGTCAGTCTACAGGATGTAGGATATACTGAGACCCTCCAGCCAAAGATGGAGAGAAGAAAGACTGCTTGGAGATTCCCGCTTCAAGCAGGAGAGAGGGTGAAGGAATTGGGAGGGGGCAGGGAATGACTCTAGGATTGGCTCTTTTCCATGTCCCAAGCATGGCTGTCCTTCTGGACCCATCAGGAAGAGAGGAGGGAGGTTGTCATCCAAGGGTTCTGAGGTGGGGGCTAAGCAGATCGGTACTCCCTACCAGCCTGCAGGTCTTCCTGAAGGAGGCAGCTGGGAACCACCCACGTTCATCTGGCGTCTCTCACGCCTGCACTGGGGGTCCCAACAAGGGAGCCCAGGCACATAGTGGAGTCGGTGTTCCCGGGAGCCCAGCTGTCCCTATTCCATCCGGGTCCGGCTCGCCAGCTCTGTCAATGTGCCCCCCACTTCTCCTCCAAGCACAAGTGGTGAAGGCTAGACTGATGGCCAAGAGCCCTGGTCTAGGCCTGGAGGGGAGCTTCCTTTTCTATCTTGGGCAACTAGGATGATCTGAACTACAGGTTAAAAAAACAAAAACAAAAAAAACCAACAACCCACTGGGAAGAGCTGTCCAGGGAGTGGCAAACACTGTCAATTCCATCTTCTAAGGAGGTTCAGAAACCAGGCGCAGTGTGTCTGTTTTCTTGACAGAATGCTCCAGTGAGTTGCTGCACAGGTGTCAGACCCTCTATTCAAGACAACAAAGACTTCTGGTCTCACCTGGAATGCAATCCGAAGTGTCGGTTGCTCTACCACTGTTCCAACCTGTCTCCAGATTGCTTACCTAACACACTCCAGAACTGACTATGCCTGTTACATTCTTCTGCATGTATGTTGTATCATTGTTTCTTCTGCATGATGGCAATCCCATGTCTGAAACAGCGCCAAGTGCAGAAGCAATCCTTGAAAAATATTTTTGAAATGAATGAACGAGAGCTCCTGATTGCAAGTAACTCACTAGCTGCCAGACATTGGAAAAAGCATCCAACCCTCTGAAGTCTCAGTTTCTGCAATGCAGAACACAGTAAGATCTACATCTTAGAGATGGGGAAGGGCAGCATTTAACCTCAGGAGGTTACCAGAGAGGGAGGAAGGAGGGTGGGGCCTCCTTACAGGCAGGAGGAGTTGTGACCCCATCAGTGCCTCTAAGAGCAGCTGTCCTTAGTACAGACAGGAGGCATACCCACCTAAGAACCCCACCTCCCAAGGTGGAGACATGCTTCTGTACTCGCAGGACACAGGCCTGCACTCCTCGCAGAGGCTAGGGGAAGAGAGGCTAGGGTGCCTTGCCTGGAGGAGCACTGGGAAGAGCTAGCTAGGTACATGGATGGTGGGAGGTGGGATTAATTCTTAGAGGGCCTGGGGGATGACATCCGGAGCAGTAGGCAGGAGAGGGGGGCAGCCTCTCTGAGGCGGAGGTAGCAGGGGGCGTGTCTGGCCCCTGGAAGACCTTGGGACTGAGGAATGGGTGCTCCCTCCTTTCTAGAGAGCCCCCAGTTCATCTGGCTCCGGAGTTGAGGTGCGGGGGCAGCGAGGGTGCCTATTGGATTCCTCCCTCGGAGCGACAAGGGGCTCCGAGCCCAGGTAGGGGTGGATTGTTCCAGGCTTAAGAGAGCAGTCCCTGGACACTGACCCGCCTCTTTCCTTGCCCCTCCGTGTCGACTTGCAGAGCTGGGGGTCCCGATCTTCCTCCCAGGGTGGAGTGCTCCCTAGGGAGGGGGCCGGGGCAGCTAGGGCGTTCCGTTCTCTCTCCCGGGAGGGGGCGGGGGCGGAGCCTAGCTGCCGGCGGGGGACCCCCCCCAGGGGAGGGGCTCCGGGCTAACGCTGCGGGGCGTCTCCCTCGCAGTCCCGCCCGCCCCTCTGGCCGCCTCTGCCGCCGCGCGCCGCAGCAGCGCCGCCTTCCCTGCGCAGTCGGTGTCTCGGCGTTGCTGGGTGAGTGGGGGCCGCTCCGGCTGGGATCGGGGATGAGAGGAGGGAAGCCCGGGAGCCAGGAACCCAAGTCCAGGGCTCCCCAGTCTGCTACTCCCCGAGCTTCGTGGGATTCCTCCCACCCGCGGCGCTGCCAGCCCCGGGCTGCCCCGGGGGAAATCGCGCGGCGCTCTCCAGGGTCCTGACCGCCAAGTGGCCGGCTCCTGGGAGTCGCGCGTCGACCGTACCGGGCGCCCCCTCCAGGAGGGACCTCGAACCCAGTGCGGGAAGGACGGAGGCGGGGGCTCAGGGCTGGAGCAGGGGGAGGCTCGAAGGGGATGCTAGGGCGGGTTTCTCGGATCGAGCTGTGAGGTTCCTCCTATTTTGGGCACTGGGGGTCTTTGAGGAGAAAACAGCCGTTTCTTCCAGCTGGGAAAGGCAATGCCGCGGGTGGCCGAGAGGAAGGGGCACCTGGAGGAGCGCTCCTGCTCAGCGCATCACTCTGCCCCCGCCCCGCTGACCCAGTTCCTTGGACCTTGAGGAGGGGAGTAAGGGACACGCTCCCTTGCTCAGCCCTGCGCATTTCCTCAGTCCCTTCCCACACACTTGTTCTGTGGCTTCTCAGCCTGGGGCAGAAGAGGCTGATCCAGAAAGGAGGGGGTACCAACTTACAGGAACATGCATGACACACACTACTGAGGACAGACAGACACGGGGCCCCTCACATTCCTGGGGAACATTCCTCTCTCTGTGACAGGTGCATACCCGCTCAGTACGCATCTAGAATTCACACGCAGACAGGCATAGAAACGCACAGGGAGATAGATGCGGTGCAGAGCCCAGGACCCACATCATGTGTGAGCATACGCATTCAACATGCACCCACACACATGTGCACACACATGTGCATAGAGCTTCATGGACCTTCATGGGCAAGGGACCGTTTTCATCCTGTCTTGTCTCCAACCTCAGGAGCCACCTGCACCCCTACACCTATGCTTCTGACTGCCTGGCTACTTCCCCTCCATTGCTCTTGCTCAGTCTCACACTTTAATCCCTGCCCTGAGGGGACCTCTTAAAATCAGAGAAAAGGTGAGTGGTGAGAGAGGTTTGGATGGGCTGGGTAGGGCTCTCCAAGAAAAAGACTCCTCCTCAGGTCTGGGAAGGGCTGCAGCTCCCTCTCCTGGGACCTGGCAGCACCTCAGGGATAGAAAGACAAATGACAAGGGTGCCTGAAGGTCCCACGTGCAGCTGGCCATGTGAGAGGTGTCGGCATTTGAGTTGGCGTGTAATGGCATGTGTGAGACATGTGGGGTCGTGGGCTGGTGTGTCTTGATGTACAGTGCATGGGAGTTGTGCGTGGTGCCATGTGTCAGTACGTGTGAGTTGTGGGGCAGGGGGATTGTTGTGTGTGTGGGCATGGCAATCCATGTGTGGTAGGGGTTAGTATGTGTGTGACAGAGAACCTAGGGAGTGAACTTGGTGATCCGTGTGGCATTATGACACGCACTTGCATATCATGCCCGAGTTTTGTGGAGTCTGGATACATGTAAGTCATTCTTACCCATCTAACATGTATGTAGCACCTGCTTACTCAGGCATGATTCTAGCATGTTTGCAGGTACTAACTAATTTAATCCCCAAGATAACCCTATGAAGTAAGTACCATTATTAAACCCACTTTGTGGTTGAGACAGAGACTTTAAGGAAATTGTCTAAGGCACATTGCTGGTAATGGGAAGCTGGAGAGACAGGTGACTCTCCATGAGTTCAAGGCCAGTCTGGTCTATAGAGTGAGTTCCAGGATAGCCAGGACTACAGAGAGAAACCCTGTCTTGAAAAACAAACAAAAATTTATTTAAAAAAAAAAAAGAGGGAAAGCAGGGGTGTGAGCCCAGGTGATCTAGCTCTGGGGTCCAGGTTAACACCTCTTGCTAAGCATATCTTCAGGAAGAAAATCGGACAGTGTCCAGGCAGTGGGTGCATTGTGGCATCAGACATCTAGGAAGCCCGGAAAGGGTCAGCAGGTGCGAAGGAGGGCTCAGAAGCTTTTCTGCACCCTCCTAGGACAGTGTGGGAGTCAGCTCCACCTGTCGTGTCCGTGTGACCTGAGGCAGATCATCTTACTTTTCTGAGCCTCCCTTCTCCTGTAGAAAATGCAGCTAACTCCCGGATTTCTTTCCCCTTGGGGGAGTGAAAACGTATGTTTGTGAATGGGCTTAACACAGACAGCCAAAAGGGTGTCCATGATTGTGAGCCTCCTTCCTTCTTCTTTGGGTCTGTTGTGCAGACATGCATGTCACAGAGCAGAGGGCAGGCTGTAGGATCTGGGGCCCATTTCTCTCTTCTTGGGTTAAATGAGAGTTTGGGGTATCTTGTGTCTGAGGGCCCTTCTGGAGTAGGGTCAAGTGACCAAGAGAATGTAACCATTGCTTTCTGTCCTTTCACTTTCTTTGGGGGGGGGGACCCAGGTGGGACTTGGCTCTTCTGCCATGGGCAAGCAGAACAGCAAGCTGCGGCCAGAGATGCTGCAGGACCTGCGGGAGAACACGGAGTTCTCCGAGCTGGAGCTTCAGGAGTGGTACAAGGGCTTCCTCAAGGACTGCCCCACGGGCATCCTCAACGTGGACGAGTTCAAGAAAATCTACGCCAACTTCTTCCCCTATGGCGATGCCTCCAAGTTTGCCGAGCATGTCTTCCGCACTTTTGACACCAACAGCGACGGCACCATCGACTTCCGGGAGTTCATCATCGCTCTGAGCGTGACCTCGCGTGGCCGCCTGGAGCAGAAGCTCATGTGGGCCTTCAGCATGTACGACCTGGACGGCAATGGCTACATCAGCCGGGAGGAAATGCTAGAAATTGTGCAGGTGGGCCGTCATCGCCACTGGCTCCTCAGCCTCCATCTCTGAACAAACCCCACCCTCCCTTTTTTAGCCTCTGGAGGTACCTAGTCCCAAGTAGTGTCAGGGGATGTTTTTCTCATCGTATTTACAAATTCTTTTAGAATGAAACGATTTTCCATTGAAAGAAAAGCTGAAAGCTAAAACTACTGTGGAGTTAGAGGCAGGAGGGCCAGGAGTTCAAAGCTAGCCTCGGCTACCAAATGAGTTTGAGGCTAGCCTAGACATTATGAAACTGTCTCCCCTCCCCCACCAACCCAACAACAAAGGAAAGAAAGAAAAACCTAGAAAGTTCCCGTGTATCCTAGTCCACACTCAACAGCTAGTGTTCTTGGTGTTGCATAGCTCTGTGTGCGTGCCATGGTTTCTGGTTGTTTTCAGGATTGATCCTTCACTCCTCAGGTAAAGGATATATTTCCTAAGACTAAGACATTCTTACATAAGCCATAATGTGATTACCCAAGTCAAGATATTTAACACAGAATAGAAGCAACACTGTTCCTATTCCATTGTTCATTCTTTCCAGAATGTTCCCTGTTGCTTCCCCCTTTCCCCCTGCTGGTCTGGGATCCCACATTGAATTTTGTTGTCCTATTTTCTAGTTATATTTCTTTAGAGACAGGATCTCACTATGTAGCCCTGGCTAGCCTGGAATTCACTTTATAGACCAGGTTGTTCTGCACCTCACGGAGATCGGCCTGTCTTCTCATGTTGAGTGCTGGGATTAAAGGGGAATGCAGCACTTGGCTTTGTTATTCTGGTTTAATTTGGAGTGGTTCCTCCCCTTGCTTTGTCTTTCCCTTCTTGACATTTCTGATTTAGTCAAGTTATATTTGGTTTGGTTTGGTTGGAGATAGATCTTTCTAAGTAACTCAGTCTGGCTTTGAACTCATGATCCTGCTGCCTTAGCCCCTGAGCTAAGGGTTACAGGTATGTGTTCCATGCCCAGCTATGCTATTCATTCATTCATTCACTGATTCATTCATTCACTAATCATTCATTTGCTTGCTGTGTTCTACCACCGGGCCTCATCCACAGCTTACAAGTGCTGGTTTTTTTTTTTTGTTTTTTTTTTTTTTTGTTTGTTTGTTTTTGATCCTTATTTACTGAAGAGAAAACATGCTTTGAAAGGAGAAGGCGCTTGCTGGAGACCTCACAGCCTGAGTGGGCCACCTGGCTCCAATGTTCGAATGCCATCTGGACACCCAGCCACTGCCTAACTAATTGACAAGAGGCACCACCAGAGCCCAGCACTGCATGAGATACTTAGACCCCTGAACTGAGCACATCCTTAGGGAAGTCCCATGTGTTTCAGACAGGTAGAGCCACTTGCTTGTCATAAGGAAGTGGGATTGAGCCCAGGCTGGCCACCGCTCCCAGCCGGCTTTTGTGAAGGCTCTGAGCTCTTAGGCAGGAGAGGAGGCTTCCAATTCTGGACTGGCTCTTCCGCTGCTCATCTATAAAAGTGGAGCAGAGACAGCAAGGCTGATTGCATGAGGAGATTTAGAGACTTGTCATGAATGTCTTTTCTTAGTACCAACTTAAGTATGAAATGCATTAGGTTTATTTCAGAAGCCTTCTATGGCACGATGCCCCCTTAGCTCATTGAAGGCAGTCAGTGCTGAGATTCTATTTTACCCGTCTGCTCTTTGTCCACTTCAGACATTTGTTTTTAGACAGGATCTCTCTCTCTCTCTCTCTCTCTCTCTCTCTCTCTCTCTCTCTCTCTCTCTGTGTGTGTGTGTGTGTGTTAGATTACATTTTCAAAGCTAGCCCCCAAGGTCTATTGCCTTATTTGGCCATTTCCTCCTTTTGAGGACCTTTGACTGCAAAGGTCCAGCTTTTAAAGTACTGAAGTCCAGCAATCAAAAGCCCCCTTTGGCTCAACTAATTAACATGCCCAATTAAAATTAAACACCCCATCTTAACAGAGGGTTTTCCCTTTTGCCTTTATAAACCTCCATTTTCCTATGGGCCACATCTATTTCCTTTCTATCCCGAGGCAGTCCCTTGTCCTCTGGGACAAATTTTCTACCCCACCCCCCACCCCCACCACCTTGTTCCCTTCGCTTTCTCTCTCATTGTTTATCCCTGTCTTTGTCTCTTATTCTCTGCCTTCTGTCCCTTTGGGGCAAATACATCTCCTTTGTGCTGAGAACTTGGTCTCAGCGGTCCTGAACCAATACTTTTCCTTTCAGTGACTGTCCGTCCTTCTTTCTCCATCCATCTCCTGCACTGGCTAAAATGGCCTTGTGAGCACCCCTAAGATGCTCTTGAGAACGGCCACCACATAGCTTTGCACGAGGACCCTTCCTGCATCTCGGCCTCCTTCCCTTTTAGCCCCTCTGCTTTGTGGGCTGATATCTGTTCACCCAGCCTACTGGCTCCCCCTCTTGCTGGGGACATGGATCTCAGTCTCTAGCTTGAGTAGAGTGGCTGCCTGTCTTGGGAACTGATGCTTTCACTATGCCAATTGTCTGTTGCCTCAGTGTTGGTCCCAGGAGCCTCTGGATCACGCAGTCCTCTTTGGAGGCAGGATGATGGGGAAGTCTGGGGGTGGGGGTGGGGTCCCACTGCAGAGGTCAAAGTAGTGGTGGAGGATCATTTAGGGATCTGCTGGATATCGATGAGTTCCTGTTTTCCAGCCGTACACTGGTAAATCTCAGCCCAGCTGAAGCCACCACGCCCAGTGCAGCAGTTAGCTAGTCGCCCCTGGACCTATTTTTTTTTTAAACCAGCTTCTGCCCTCTAGGCCCTGACTTCCTCTCTGACACCCCAGAGGCTCCAGACAGCTGGAGCAGACAGAGCTCTGTGAGCCCCGGGGCCTGATTAACGACAAGTCGGCTCCAGTGAAACTCTGAGCGAGCAACCCAGACAATTAATTAGAAGGATTGTCACAAGGGGAATGGTCACCCTCTAAGTCACTGCTCAGTCCCTTTCCCATGCCAGCCTTACACAGGGTGGTGGCACAGTGGGAGGAAAGAGGCAAGTGCTTCACGGAGCTCCCTCTCTAACAGGAAAGATTAAAGCACAGGCCGGACTGACCAGGTCAGGGACAGGTATATAAAAGGACATCTAGGAGTCTAGGAGACCATAAAGCCCGAGGACACCGCCAATGAATAATGACAATATAAGCTGCTATTTAGTGACTGCTTACTCTAGCCAGCCACTGTTGTTCTTTTCTATCTCATTTAATCCTCCATATAGTCCCAGTGAGATAGACACAGCACTCCCATTTTACAGATGGCAACTGAGGTTCACAGTGGCTTTCTTTTCCAAGGCTATATAGAGAGCAAGTGCAGAATGGACCAGGATGTCACTCCAGAGCCCCTGCTGTTTATTCTTTCAAGTTGTCTAAGCATACATCTATTGGTTCTCAACCCGTGGGTCACAACCCCTTTGGGGGTTGAATGTCTCCTTCACGGGGGTCCCCATGTCAGATATTCTGCTTATCAGATATTTACATTACCATTCACAACAGTAGCAAAATTAGAGTTATGGAGTACCAACAAAAGTAATTTTACAGCTGGGGCTCACCACGATATGAGGAACTGTATTAAAGAGTTGCAGCATTAGGAAAGTTGAGAACTATTGTACTCACAGCTCAGAGGGAGCAAGCTCTGATCCAACGTCTTCCATCCCTTCCCTTCCCAAATCCTGGTTTCTTATCCAGAAAGGGGAGATTTGATACATGCTTTTTTTTTTTTTTTTTTTTTTTGAGCTGATGTAGAGTTTAGAAATCCTGCATGTATGCCAGGCACTGTGGTGCACACCTTTAATCCCAGCACTTGGGAGGCAGAGGCAGGAGATCTCTGAGTTGGAGGCCAGCCTGGTCTACAGAGTGAGTTCCAGGACAGTCAGGGCTACACAGAGAAACCCTGTCTCAAACAAAACAAAACAAAACTAAACTAAACTAAACTAAACTAAACTAAACTCCTGCTCCTAGGATCTGGCAGGCAGAGGCTGTAAATGTTGGAGAACCTGAAAGGCGCAGGGGCGTTCAGTTGTGACAGAATCACCCCTCCAGGGAGGCCTGGTGATGGTGAGGCCAACTGTGGACAGCTTGTGAAGTATCTTGAATGCCAAAAGCAAATGGTTTGGACTTGGTACAGAGAATTGTGGGAGGTGACAGCGGCCTTTAAACAGGGAGTTTCCTGCCATGTGCCAAGGCACTGTACTGGGATTTGGAAATTTTAGAAGTAGCCAGAGTTACTGCTCTCTTCTGAATGGTGGCAAGCAGGTACAATCCTCCAGGGAAATAATTACTTCCTGAGAGGTGTACACGCAGGAGGCTCTGTGCCCTGACCCAGTGCTGGATCACAGATGACCTTGCTAGGAAAGCACTGTACGCTGAACAGCCAACGAGAAGTGGGAGGCAGCATCCAGAAGGAACTGGTGCTCGGTGGGCCTAGAAGGAGGTCTGTGTGTGCCGGAAATAAGGGGGCAGCCTGCTGGTTTGGGGACGTGGTAGTGGGGGTTTGTGTTTGGAGCGTTCAGAGGCAGTGTGTGGGACAGATCTGAAGGAAAGAGGCCGGAAAAGAGCAGTGCAGAGACAAAGCTGGACAGGAAGAGGGTGGGAGGGTTATGGCATGGGGGAAGAAAGGAGGCTTCTGGGAGAAGGCGTCGCTGTGAAAAAATTGGAAGTTCGAGGTGACTAGTCTGGCCTTTGAGCTCCAGGGAGCAGAAACAGCCCATCCCACAGACCAAGCACTACATGCTCTGTACATTTAGCTCAGCAACTCTCCTTCGTGTTGCCTCTGGAGCTCCTACACGTGGCAGCTGCCGCCCTCAGCCTAGCAGAGCTCAGGCTGTCCCTGGACCTGTGGCAGGTGCTCATTTGCATTTGTTTGCATAATGTTCCCGCCCCTTCTAAGTCCCAGCTGCCTCGACGCTGCTCTGCGCCCCCTGCCGGACGCAGACCACAGTGCCATCTCCTTCGGATCAGCGCCCCCTATTGGTCACCGAGCGGGAGCTCTAACTCAACTTTTACCCTCAAACATACACCCGAGGAGCGAGTGCCTAAATTTGGCGTTCTAGGCACTTGGCTATCTGGACTTGGCTGTCCTCCAACATCTCCCTTGATTCAGTGCACCCCAAATGCTTGGCACCCACCTGAAGCTTTCAGGTTGTGGCCTTGTGCATCAGCTCCATCAGCAATTCCCACCTGGCCCACTAAGGGCCCTGGCTCAGGGCACTCTTCAGCCATTCCAGACTTTTCGTTATTAACTCCTCCATGACCAGTAGAACACGACCCTGGGATGTTTATAGAGACAGAGCACGGGATGGGAGCTTAACCCGGCCCTCCCCACTCCCTGATGTCCTCTCCCCCTTCTGATCCCCCATCCCACAGGCCATTTACAAGATGGTTTCGTCCGTGATGAAGATGCCTGAAGATGAGTCGACCCCGGAAAAGAGGACTGAGAAAATCTTCCGCCAAATGGACACAAACAACGACGGTGAGTGGCGGGGGTGGGGGTGGGGATGGAGGAGGGTGGGCAGTCTCTCTCCTTTCCTCTCCTCTCCCACCTGCCTGGCTTCGCAGCCACCTTCTCATCATTCACAGCCCTCCCTTCGCCCTGCAGGTAAGCTGTCCCTGGAAGAGTTCATCCGCGGGGCCAAAAGCGACCCTTCCATTGTGCGCCTGCTGCAGTGCGATCCCAGCAGCGCCTCCCAGTTCTGAGCTGAGAGGAGCCAGCTCGCCTCCCTGCCTTCACCGGCCCTCCGGCTCTCAAGCTTCCTCTCCCTCGTGTCTATCCAGGCTGGGGGCCAGACTGGGGATCCCTTTTTGGGGTCTGCACTGTGGGGGGCCTCTGGAGAAGCGAACCCTGAAAAGAAGGGGCTAAGCAAGACAGCCGTTAGCCCCCATGGCCCAAGACGCAAAATCTCCCTTAGTGGGGCCGAGGTGACCCTCCGGTCAGGTTCTGTATTCTTTACTCAGACAGCTAATCACCTTCCACCCACTCATAACCTGGAGGCTGTTCCACAACACGGGGCGGGGGTGGGGGGTGTAGGTCCCCCTTGGGTGGTCCTCAGCCTGGAGGGAGGTGGGGAGTCGTGCCAAGGTGAAGTCTTTTTGTTTGATGGGGAGACACTGGAGGATTCCTGGGCTGTGGGGCTTTAAAGAAGTTCCCTGATCTATCTACTTCCCTGCAGAAGAACATTTCTTGTCCCAGCTCTTGCCTGGCTGAAGGCCATGGTTAAAAACAAAAACAAAAACAAAACAAAAAAACTCCCAGGATTCCAACTGGGGTCCCAAACCTAGCCTGCCTCTTTGCACTTAGATAACCACAGATTTATTCCATCTGTATTCTGTATTTCACCCTACTCTTCCCCCCCCCGACCCCCGCTCACACACACACACACAGGCACGCGCACACACGCACACACAGAGGCCCACAGACAGATGGGCAGAGCCCCTCCACAGCATTCTGTGTGGGAAAGAAGTGCAGGCCCCTGGCCAAGCCCCATGTCCCTCTGCATGCAGCCACACGGAGCATCTTTGTTCTTTTTAATAACTTCAAAATAAAGTCTTGTTTCAGTGCATTGTGCTTGGTGACCAGGGGAGGGCGTGCAAAGCCCTCACCCACTTCCCCAGGAGTCCACTGATCTTTCTTGGGCTTGCTCGAGGAATCCTGGATCCGGCTTAGCCTCCATGGCTGTCTGGGCACTGGTCAGTGCAGGTGTGGTCACGTGCCTCAGTAGCCATGGCACTGCTGAGCTGTCAGAGGGTCAGCTGCAAGAGCTGGTGCAACTCAGTAGGTCATGGCCATCCAGGGGCTCTGGGCTTGCTTGTATCATCTGTAGACACAGGAACCTGGTTGTTTCACTGGGTCTGGGGTCTCTATCTTCAGGACACCCCCAAACTGGAAGAAGGAAGGACTAGGGGCTTGGGGGAGAGCAGCAGTACCAGTCATTCATGACTGGCCAGATCCAGCCCCCAAGTGTCTCCTGTTTAATTCCCAAAGACCCGTGCTTCCCCTCAAGATTAGGAGAGCCAGACATCAGCTGTGTGACTTAGGTGGCAGATCTGGCCTCTCTGGACTTTGGAGCCCTTTGATGGTGGTGAGCAGACTTTTGCTCCAGTTATCTGAGTTGAGAGAGTGGTGAGGCTGACCAGCCAGGGACCTCTCAGGACTATGGGGTGGGGGGACTTACTGTGTGGTGGCAGCTTTTTCCCCACCAGGGTCTCAGTTCCAGTAGTCGATGCACAAGCTGGGCGCTGCGCACGGCAGACATGCTCTCCGCCAGACAGAAGATGAGAGAGATGGCCCAGAGACACAGGCTAGAGCTCTGCAGGGTCCAGGGGTACAAGCATTTAATTAGGGATAGGGGTGCAGGTAGATCCCAAGAGTCCTTCCCAAGCCCTTCCAGGCACTTATGAGTCACTCACATAAATTCGAGTAGGGTCAAAAGGACAGTCAGGTGCCAGCGTTGGGAGTTCAGGGTTCTCAAAAGTACAGGCTGCCAATAGTGCCTTGCCCTTGGTGGCGAAAGTCACAGCAATGTTGGCCAGGAGTCCAAGGGCACAGGTCAGGGAGAGAAGAGCACAGGCCACACTCATGCTAAACACGGTCCAGCGCTGGGCAGGAAGAGCACTGGTCAGTGAGTATCATGGGGCTGCTGACCCAGCCCACAGTCCCATCTGAGGAAGCGCCACATACCAAGGGGGTGCTGGGGAGGTAGCGTGACAAGACAATGGTCGAAATTCCCGCAACGATGACCTGTGGGAAGCTTGGGTCAGCTCTTACATCAGTGTTGGAGGACCTTCCTTGGGGTCAGACCTACTCTTGGATACATATCCTCCCAAGGTCCATGGTCCTGCAATCTTCACTCCCACCCTGTCCTCTGGCTTTGGCCTAATTAACTCCCATTTCCTACGACCTTCCAGAGCTCCTCACTGCCTGGGTCCGACAGGGCCCTGTGTATCCTAAGTTTGCAGGCATAAGCCAATGTGCTAGGCCACAGGACCCATGGCGTATCTCTTTGGGATAGAAAAGAATGGAAGAAATGCATTCTACTAACAAGGCACTAAAACCAAAATTATATTCAATCAGAAACCAGGCATGGTAGCATATGCCTACAATCCCAGCACTGAGGCAGGTGGATTGCTGTAAGTTCAAAGCCAGCCTGGTTTACATAAAAAGTCCTTTTTCAGCCAGGACTATGTAGTGAGGCCCCATCTTAGACAGACAGGATGCATCATGAACAGAATTCAGAATCTTTAAGAGAGGGAATGGAGCTTGGGAATAGAATACTTGCCTGGCATGTGTGAAGCCAGAGTTCAATCCTAGATACCACAAAAGACAAAGAAACCTCTAAGAGTATCAAGTTATCCCAGGCTCTTTATGACCTAGTCCTGGCCTTCTCTGGTCTATCCTGGGCCACTGTCTTCCCTTATTGCACCGGACCTGGGCACCCATGCATACCTACAGATCATTCTTTACAAGACGCCCTGCTCCTGAGTCCTAGTGCCCCTAGATCCCCAGAGACAGGCTTTCCTGTGCACCATTTAGCTCAGTGGCTGATGTCTAGATCTCTAGGGCTCCATTTAGCCTATCTGCCTTCTTAGTGTCAATCTCTGTATTGGACACAGTACCATGGGCTATAGTGGTAGTGGTGATTCACTGTGTAGTCACAAGAAAGTATCTCAACTTCTATGGGCTCAGACCCTCTCTGCAGGATGCACTCACGGGAAGATAGTCACATCCGAGGGAGTGGGGTGAATCCCCTAGTCGTGGGCAGCTGGAGCGGCTTACTGGGGAAAGCAAGGCAAAGGTGAAGTGTTCCAGCCCAGAGCCTCCTGACCCTGGGCTAGCCACCTTCCATGCCTTTCTCTCATGGCTGCTGAGCAGAGCAGATACTGATTGGCACATAGCACTACTCTCGCTCTGTCGTCAGAGCTTCCACAGGTCAGAGCCTGGAGGCCACCAGGCTGTCAGAGCTTCATTTTGTAGGCAGAGATCAGCTCAGAGAGAGAAAAGTCCCTCAGCCTGGAATCAGCAGGTCTCCCAGAGATGAACAAGTCTACAGCCGCCTCAGCTGACAGGCAGAGAAGAGCTTTTTCAACCTAAGTACACCAGACTTTTTCATTTATTCATTCATCAAACGGGCGGATGTGCAGGTATCACAATGGCTACCGCTCACCAAGTGGCTCATGCCGTCTACCCTGATGCTCAGCTCCTGTGTGTCTCAGTGTCTCCTGAACAGATCTCAGCTCCACTGGAGCGTTCCCAGCTCCACACATCTGCACCTGCCACACAGCCTGAACATGGAATGCCACCCTGGCATGCTTTTCCGCAAGCCAGCCCCAGCATGTCGCATACTTGGGTTGTTAATTACAGTCCATCGGGAACACCTACGCATCCATAAATACCCAGCTCAGAGGTCTACTTCTCCCTGAAACCCTTATTGACCCTCCCTAGCTAAGCTGACATTCACTCCTTCTGGACCACTACACACCGTGAATATCTGTCACAGCAGGTCACACTATCCCTGTGCCAGGCCCCTCGGCTTAAGCACCTTCTGTCAATGACTTCCTCAGATGCTCACTGGGAACCTCTGCTGTGCATGCATACTCTCGCCATCCCCATTTTACAGAGGACAAAGCTGAGGCAGAGAGAGTTTGAGTGCCTGCACAATTTGTATATGGTTATACCAAATATGATATAGGGTTAGTGTTTGGGGCTCTGACTGGGACCCAGTCCCTCCCTCTTGCTGGCCTCCCAGCCAGGCCATTACCACAATGGCAGAGGTGACGGAGAGGATGTCCACCACGCAGTACTGAAGAACCACAGCGTCACTGGTGGTGGCTACGAAGCGCAGCATGGTGCCGTGGAGCACCGAGGCTGCAATGAAGCTCACATGACCCAGAACTACCAGCACCAGACCCGTCTTCATCAGCACCTTCCGGAACTCATCCACATTCAGGCCACCTGCGGGGGACACGAGTGGGGATCATGGTAAGGCACTTCCTGCTGGGTGGCGTAGGTCATCTGAGCCTCCCCTGACTCTAAAAGCTTCCTGGTTGGTTTTCAGTCCTTGCATTAGAGATTAGAAAAGCACACAGGCGATCCACACAGCTGTCCTTGTTAACTTTTGTGCTTTGAGTAGCGGGGATCCAGCATGATCCTCCCACTGAGCCATCCAGCCATCGGATCAGTCACTCAGCCATTCCATGTATAAAAGTGCCCTGCATGCCTGCTCCGTGCCATGCACTAGGATACCTATGAGCCCGGCAGGTACTGTCCAGGCCTCGAGAGCCCACAGTGTATTGGGCAGGAGTCAGGCCTTGCTCAGCTGTCAGTTTGGTAGATGGAGCTTGGCACACACAGTTCTTTTTTTTGGGGGGGGGGTTCGAGACAGGGTTTCTCTGTGTAGCCCTGGCTGTCCTGGAACTCACTCTGTAGACCAGGCTGGCCTCAAACTCAGAAATTCATCTGCCTCTGCCTCCCAGGTGCTGGGACTAAAGGCGTGCGCCACCACTACCAGGCCAGCACACACAGTTCTTAACATGCAGCTGCTAAACAGCTGCCGAGAGCCATCTAGTCTTCACTTCTTTTCCTGGAGAGGAAAAGAGCCCTTGTTTCTCAGTGTGGACAAAGTCCATGGGTGGACAGGAAACTGGGGATCAGTGCAGGGTGCACTTAACTGGGGCTGGGACCAGGAGGGACTCTGGGGACAAATACACTTTCTGAGTGGCCAAGTCCTATCCCATTCACATAGCACGAAGCCCCCCTCCCCTGAGCTGCTTTCTGCTACATCCCACATGGCTCTTGGTCCTGCTACCTGGACCCGGGGAGGGGTGGGGGAGGCCCCTTCAGTGTAGCCAGCTCCGAGAAACTGGAAGAGTGCAGTTGGCCCTCTCAGATAAGCAGAGTCCTTTCTTCTTTTGCTGCTTCCAATGGGCTCTGACTTTGCGATCCTTGCTAAATCCCAGTGTCCTCACATGTGGCAGAGAGGTCTGGCCCTGTCCCCTATAAGTGAGCTCTACGGCTCAATGAAAACAAGAGATGGGAACCAGCCATTAAGCTGGATATTCTCTGGGCAATTGCAGAGGGCCAAGGGGGCCAAGGGGGTTTCATCGCTGTATTCAGGAGACTGAGGCAGGAGGATTCCTGCAAAGTCAGCGTCAGCTTAAGTTACAGAGTGAGACTCTGCCTTAAAAAAAAAAATTGGCTGTGTTCCAGTAAAGCTCCGCCCTCAAACTCTTATAACCAACCCTAATTTAACACACACACACACACACACACACACACACACAATTTTGAGGAGCAAGGAGAAGCCTGTCTAGACAGCCAGAGACTCACTGTGGACCTGGTACCAGCCCTTTCTTCCCTCTGAACCCTGGATTCTTTGTGCATAGAGAGCCAGGTGGGGTTGGCCTAACTGGTCTCCGAGCTCTCCTCTAGTCTGTAGGCTCTGGGACTGTCACTGCAGCAGAAGACAGAGCATGGACTGGAAAGGCATGAGGAACTGCAATGGCATTGTGAAGATGAACAGCTGGCCAAACAGGAAGAGGAATTGCAGCCTCGTTCCAGGGGCCTCACG